ACCAAACAGAGGCAGTTTTTCTCACATCAGGGACCCTCTCACACTTTGTCTACCCTCGTTTAAGGCCTGTTTATGAAGCACAAGCGATTGGCTCTGATTTGATTTGGCATTGCTCTGATAATTATGATGAATCTTCCTCTCCTTCTGTTTGTGTGTGCATCTGTGCGTGTAGACACTCTTCACCTCAGTTGCTCAGAGCTGCTGCCTTTTAGTGCTTTTGTGCTCTGAAAGACCACAACAGTAGTGCTTTATAAATATTGATTGGCATTAATTTGCTGAGTACCAGATGTGCAGCGTTTAGTACATGAGGGTTTTTTAGATAGTGACAGCCTGTCAGTAAAAATAAAAAAAGTGTGAAGTTATTTTTTCTGCATAAAGACTTTTGAACACCCATTTTGTATCTAATAACAAAGTGAACACTTAGTTGACTTATAATTATATAATGTTCATGTAAGCTGATACCTTAGGTTTAGCACAGTCTGCTAAAAATGTAGTTTGATTTTTTTTAAAAGGAAAATAAATTTCACTTTTTGTTTTTCTGTATCTTAAAAGGTACATGCTTTATTTAATTTTATTCTTTCTAATTAACGAAACAAGTGCTACAAATTTCAGGTGTAATTATGAATATTACAAACATTAGACAATACAGAAAGTTGATGTGCAATCAATTTAATTGCATCTTTTCACAATCAGTGCTTGATATACAACGGCACATTTAAAATCCAAACTATAAATTAGAAGTTTTGCCAAACAAAAACAAAACAACGCCCCCCCCCCTCCTAAATCTGTCTTTTTATGGAAGAAGTTTAACTTAAAAACAACAGTCTGATGTACAAAACACAACATCTTTATTATTGTGTTCATTGGCTGAAAATACATTCAAGTGTGTAGCCATTAATCTTAGCAGCTTTGTTTGTTCAACTTTTTTTTTTTTTAAACTGGTCAAGCAGCAAGCCTGTTGCATGCACTCAGTTTCCCTTTACACAGTATATTTGCTGCAATTTGTGTCACTTTGTTTTAGGGATGCACAATATTGGATTTTTGGCTGATATCCGATATGCCGATATATTAAAACTTATTTGGCCGATAACCGATACAAATTCCAATATTTTTTTTCCCCTAGACCTACTTACAGAGACTACATAGCTGTCTCTGCTGTGGAATTAAAATACTACCGGTACAAAAAACAAACAAACAAAACATTTTTCTGCATGGTTTTTATCAATTTGGCCTGCTACTAAATGCAAATGCCACAAAGGGGGCTGAAAATGATGCAACACGTCAACTTGGTTTATGTTTAATGTCAAATCTATTCATCACATTTACTCTCTGTAACACAATGACAACACTCGAACAGTACAAATGTGTACATTTTCACAAAACTAAACTCAACGGCGCGCGTGATGTCATAATGTTGTGCCGGTTGTCGTATATAAACAGCACCTTTTACTGTTTATCAGTGAGTTATTTTGATGGAATGGCCGATGTCCAATATTTAATTTTATTGCTAATATCGGCCAATACCGATACCATGCCAATAATATTGTGCATCCCTACTTTGTTTTATGTACTTTAAAAAAGCATTAATACCACGGGTGTACTAATTCTTTTATTTTTATTTTTTCAGAACAAGTTTGAGTACTTCATTTTGGGTACTTGCCAATATTGAGTACTGATGCCAAGTAGTTAATGAGTTAGTACTTAAACACTACACACTAACTTTAGAAACATATATTTTTTATTGAGAACGCAGCAATCAGACTGCTGTCCTAACATCTGTGTTTATCTTAACATTTCTCCAAACTACAAACATTTTCTGTATTTTTTTTCTTGTGAAGTGGAAAATAAAATGACATCGTCAACCAAAACAATAATATAGATTTGGAGTATTGGGGTGTTTTTACCAGTACAAGTATGAGTATTTGAGTCTGTTATGGGGCCTGATATGATACTGGTATCGGTATCGGGACACCACTAATCAGTCTCCCACATGATTTGAGAGAATTGTTAAAAACTCTTGCTCTTTTACCTTAGTCGATGTGGACAAACTATAACCATTTTGTTTCTAAATCAACAGCAACTATCATGCAACACATAGTAAAATTAAGCTTTCACTGGTTTATTAAAATTGTTTTCTATTTTGTGATATCTCTATTATCAGTAAAAGTAGTTGGAGATGGTGTGGTTGGATTGTCAAGCTTGGCTTTTACATCATTGGTCCTAGATAAATATTTCTTTAGATTACAGGAAATTATAATAAACTTAAAAAGCTTTTTGTCTTTTGTTTTACATTTTTTTTTAAATATGTGAATGTACAAGGACGTAATTATATTTGTTTCCAATAGTCTTTTTTGATATGTCTAACTTTATATTTATAATTGAAATTCTGAAAACCTTTGCTCTCACATCCTTCTTTCCTTCTCTTGCTCCGCCCCTCTGTGCCCCCGTGCTCTTTCTCTTTCATCAAACGTGTCTAGTCTGCAGATGAGATAGAAGTGATGGTAAGCTTCATTGCAGCCTCTTAAAGTTCTGCTCTTTTAGCCTTTCCGTCTTTTTTGCTGATTTCCAGTTTTTTGCTTTGTATCCAGTTGCCATTGTTTTTGTTGGGAACTGCTGCCTATTATTATTAGTATCCACCTGGAAAGAGTCAACTTTAATGTGCCCCAAACTGCAATGGGGGACAAATTTTATATAAAAACGAACACCAGGATGCGTGTTATTACTTTTATTGGTATTTCGAGTTACCATGGCGATGTAATTTGCAAACAAAGACACCATTTTTCTCATTGAAACAAACTATAAATCAGCCATTTTTAGAGATGTTAAGCTAAAATTTGGGAGCTGAGGTGAGGGCAATGCCCCATAAATACTGAATAAAAAAAAATAAATCAAGATGGCCACTAAAGCTAAATTAAAATGGCTTTAACTCAACTATTTTTACACGTACAGAGCTGGAATTTGGTGTGGTAATAGCTGAGAACATTCCCCATCACAAACTGAATCCAAATAAAAAATCCAAGATAGTCACCATAGCTTAAAAGAAAAACAAACTGTCACTGATTTTATTTTCCTATATTGAGCTGAGATTTGGTTTGGTGGTAGATGAGGGTGAACTCCAACTTGTCAAATCAAAAAATTTAAATGGCTGCGATGGGGCAGTCCCAAAGTTTCTCCAGGAACTTTCTATTTTTTTGTACAAGATCTTTGAAAATAAAACAAAAATAAAACCATTTTTGTTTATGCCTATTTGAGGCATTTCTAATGATTTCTATTGGTGTAACTGGTTTAAAATAAAATTAAAATGTCTCATTTGAAGTTTCATTGAGGTAAAAATCCCCTTAATGATAATTAGAATGAGGCTAAGTTAAGTCACTCAACTGCTTTTTCTTTTTCTTGTTTTTCTACTCTTTTCACCTTTTTTAACTGCAGATCCCGTCCTCCTTGCATCTCGTCGCATCGTCATCCTTTTCATTACTTTTATGCACTTTTTTTGTTTGACCTTGCCGTTTTCTGTTGAAACTTTTTCCCACCATTTTTGTTCGTCTAACAACATCTACAGTTCAATTTTCAGAAGTGTCTTTGTGTATTACTTTAAAAAAAAAGTTTATTTTTTTAAGTCCATTTGCCCCCCCAAAAATAACCCAAGTTATGGATCTTCCTTTGTTGCACGTTGTGCTCATCGTTTTGGTCTTTCTCACCCCACACATATTTTTCTTCCTTTCCCTGCAACAGATACACGCTTGCATGTTTTAGCATTCTTTCACCATCATGCAACCATGTTCTCATTATTCATTGTAGGAGTATTTTAGTACAAACATAGTGTGCAATACTTTATATACACAGGGGAATATAACTGTTAGGTATAGATTCATAGACGAAAGAAGTTGAAAAGTGAAAGTTTGCGTTTTAAAGGATGACTTTATATATGTGGTGCATTCTCTTTGTTTGTACAACATGCATTTTTCACTAAATGTGTAGTACAGTTGTTCAAAATCTAACGTGTGTATTGAACATATATCTATTCAATGCAGACCTTGAAATAATCAGAATGTCAGAATAATTTGAAACGCTTAACAGTTAAGAATTCTGGCATTTGAAAAATAAATATCGACGTTAAGCCGGCATTCAAATTAAAGTTAACACCACTAACTCATTTAAAGCAGGGACGTTGGTAAAGCTCCACTGCTCTGCAGAGCTTTTTTTTAAAACTCTTATCAAATCATTTCTTGGCAAAGATCAGTCAGCTGAGTTAATACATTTGATTTGTTAAACACTACTTTTGCGAAGCAGCTGATGCTAAAAATCAACTAGAAAATGCAAAATAGTTACTTTTAGGGGTATTAGTGTCATGGAAATAAAACATCAACACTGATAAACATTATTAGTAAAAAAAACTATAACAATGTTGTGCAAAATACCAGAACGATGTGTGAAAAGTGATCTTATCAAAACTACTCTTTCAGTCTTGCTTGATTCTGACTGGTCTACAACTAATTTCCTGCTTCGCCTTTGTAGTTTGTCCACATCTCTTTTCTTACCTTTTCTAGAATTAAACTCTGCCTTTTCTGCAGCATTCCCAAAAGATAAAAAACAACAACAACAACAAAACCAACTGGACTTCTATTCTGTAGTTGAAGATGTGTCACATCCCATCCAGGAGGCTTTCTCAAACACAGGAAGAGGTCTCAGATTTTAATTTATGAACTGATTCCAGTATGCTGGGTAGGTGTGTGAAATTAATGTGGGATGCTCTGAGCAGAATGTTGAGAGGAAAACAGAATGTCTTTGACAATTATCATCTCTCCATCCATCATCTCATTTGCTCTTTTTTATTGGTGCTATCAATCCCACTGTGGAAGTAAGCACGGGAAACACTGAACATTATTTCATTTCGTAACGTTTTCTCTGATAGTCGAATTCAAGTTAATCACATGATCTTTACTGTTAGTTTAATCAACTGCTCTTTGTGTGTGTGTGTGTGTGTGTGTGCTTGCTTATAGGCTCAGCAGCTACTGAAGAAAGACTCGCAGCTAAAAGCTCTGGATGCCTTCTACAAGGAGCAGCTTGTACAGCTGGAGAAAAGGGTACAGCATTTACACAGACCCACACACTCACACTTTCAGTCCTAGAGTTGTTGTGCTCAGTGCTAAGCTATCCACCTTATTCCTGGGGACTCTACTGTATAAATGATTATGGGTACAACATCTTAGACACTAGAAGTAGCAGTAAGCATTGGTTAACTATGGTAGTGGACCACGGTTTATTTGAAAGTAATTTGCATTCAGTTTAGCAGATAAAACGCTGTTTTGTTTTGTTCACGTTTATTTAACAACCATAAAGTTTACTAAAATAACCGTGCTGAGTTCAGGTACCTGTTGTGTTCGCGGCTGCAGGAACAACCAGACCAAACTAAATCAGTGGCTACAACAATAGGGTTCTGAACACAGACCCAAAACAAAAAGAGTGTTCCTGTGAAAAGCGGTATAGTTTCCACCTCCTACCTACAGATGAGGAATTAAGAAGAATGTGGCTGAAAATTGTGAATTTGAAGAGAAAATCCAAAACTCTGTATGTGTTAATTTCACTTTGTTGACAAACGGCCGACGGAGGAAAACCTGCATCCTACTTTGTGTCTGGGCTACAATAAACCACCGTAGAAGAGACGCTGGTTCTTCAGAAGGATTGAAATCAGTGTGAGAAGAATATCAGATATGATTTCAAGTGTATGGAGGACACAGCTTTATAGTATTTGTTTGATTGTGTCCCACCTCTTTTAACAAAATGCGATGGACCTTTATTACTGTGCAGATACTAATACGCCTCCGAGCTTTTCAAGTTGTTCATTGCTTCTTCGTTGGAAGAACTGAGTCAGTTAAGTAGCTAAATATGCTAGTAGATGTAATCTGCAGCCACTTCTTCACCTCGTCCTACCTTCCCTCATCCTCACTAGGCAGCGGTGTGATTTATATTGTCCTGTCTGAGCTCTGACAGAAGGTGTTACTACATGTTTAAATTAAATCCACAGGGCTTGGAGAAACTACTTCAGCTCGTACTGTTCGCACATAAACAAACGCCGGTTCTGGTTCGCGCCGGAAGTTGCGTCCATAATTCACACAAGGCAGCATGGGAGCTAGGAGTAAGGTGGATAGATACAAACGTCCATGCAAACATAAGGAAAAGTTGAGTCAAATTAAAGCAAACCTGAAAGCATTTATTTTTGGTCATAAACGCATACGTGCATGCTTGGAAAGTGAATCTAGAGGACTTGTACAGATTTATTTTGGGCAGCATGTCTGTGATAAAATGCATTTTTTAAATTCCAACTGGTCCTCACCTTCAGGGGACCTCCCTCAAATGCACTTTGTATTGTGTACGTAAATTGAAACAACAGAAAATGTTATATAAAATAAAACGTATGTGAGGTAATATCGAGACAACATGTTCAGCATAATGGGGTTCCAAGTAAAGCTTGTATAAAATAAAGCTCTCCCTTGGGTCTATCCACTATGATTCAACAAGCAGCAAAGATTGAAACCAATCAGAGCATCTCTGGAGAGCCTTTACAAGACTTTCTATTTCCTTTCAACTATTTGACATTTGCCAGGTAGAAAAGGTGTGGCTTCAAGTTAAGTCACTGTCTCACCAGGCACCGTGGAGAGAACCTTTACCACAGGCTCTCTGGGGGGAAGCTGTCCTCTATTTCTCAAATGGAGAAGACCTTTAAAGGACATTATGTATAAAATCTAAGCATTGTGTTTACCATGACGAATTCAAGCCTGCCCTGCACAGATGGTGGATGGAGTAGATTGAGCCACATGAGGTAGCAATAACTCTGGAGTGTCACGATGAGAGCCTATGCCCCGTAGGCATCGTAACCATTATATGTGAAGGGGACAAGTCCCCCCCACATAAAAAAATCGTTCATTTGGACCCCCCCACTTTTGCTATGAAACATTAGTTCAGGCGGCGCAGTTTCTCTTTCTTCGTGAACAAATCCATTCCACTTGACTAATAGGAGAATACTCAAACCACTAAAACTCCACTCCAGGTTTTCCTGGTTACCTCCAACTCTAAACACAGTAGCCTGTTGCCACGGTCACAATATACGGTGGTCACCGAATATGGTGTAACACCTGCAGTGTTTTTGTGCGCCGCCTCCTGCCTCGGCAGAAAACGCGCACAGGTGGAGGAGATGGAGACACCTCTGTGTTACTCGCTTGCCAGTTTAGCGAGCTGTGTGCGGGCAGTTGTTGACTGGGGGGATTGATCATAAATGTATATTCATGTTAGGAGGAGAGAAGTGGAGCGCTACGTCTGTAGCATCTTAGCTGAGCAGTAACTGTGATGCTGCAGGTGTAAGAGACGCTGTGTGTCCAGGTGCATTAAAGTTGAAATGTTTTAAAACCCCACACCTTATTGTCCTCAAGCTTCATGAGAAACATCATTTAGATGAGTAGTGTTGAACACAAGTAAAAAAGTCCAGTGGTGATGCTTTTTATTTCTCTATAAAGACAAATAGTGCCGACCTGATGCTCTGTATTAAAGTGTATTAAAGTTAAAACGTCTTTAAACCCACAGCTGAATTTACACAAACTTGGTGAGAAACATGCTTTAAATGTGTGGGATTAAAGGAAATCTAGGTGAAATGCTGCTTTTTTGTAGTGAACACCTTTTTTTTACGTGCGCGCACATGCATGTGCACACACACATATCATTGTGTCCCCCCCCACCCCCCCACATTACGGATGCTTCTGACGCCCTTGCTATGCCCTGACGGCTTCATAGCCAGTCATTTTGTCAGCTTTTCATTCTATTTTTCAGCAAATATAATGCATTTGGTTGGTGTATTTTATTTATTTATTAATAATTGCTACTAGTAGATTAATAGAAAAAATCCAAAGCAAAGTTCTGAGTAAACTTTCCACCATTTTATAAAACTGTGTGTATGTGTGCAATGTGTGGCGAAGTTGTGAAGGACTAAAATAAGTGGTTGGAATCACTGACTCAAGCAAAAGGTTTTTTTTCTATTTGGCTAAATCCGAAGTTTAGGATTTTGGAAACTGGGCATGTCCAATCCTGCCCTGTTCGGTGCTCTGCTGATGGGAAATTGTGAACAGACTGCACTAACTTCTTTTTACCTTACACAGTTGCAGTTATTCTCTGTTTAAGACTTTTTTTTTTACACATGTAGCCGTTTACACATCCATATACTGTATCCAAGCATATATATTCAACATTATTGGAAACTGTTTGCTCTAAGGCAGGACTTCTCAAACTTTTTGGGTTCAGGGACCCCTTACAGGGGAGGACAAGTTTCAGGGACCCTCTCATAACCCTCATGTTTATTAAATCATTTTATTGAGTTTGTCTCTTTAATGCAGTGGAAATATTTGTGTAACATGAATATTTAAGACCTGTTCTTTAATAGGGTTAATACAATTTCTATACTTTTAAACATGGGGTGTTTTTCAGTCAAGACACACTTAATTAACAAAAATTTTAATTTCAACTTCCAAAAATTACAGCTTTGAGAAAATGAACAGTATCAAAACCCCTTTAAAACTTTACCTATTCACATAATGAGCATAAATGTATTGCTACTAATTCAAATTATTACATAAAACGTTTCACATAAAACTGAACAGCTATACCGTATTTTCTGCCGTACACGTCACACCACTCTATAAGTCGCATCTGTCCAAAAATGTCTAATAAAGTGGAAAAATACATAAATATGTCGCTTGGCTGTATACGTCACATCTATTATGCGTCGCCTCTGACGCGTCGCGTTTGTTACGCATCACAGCTGACAACACGGAAATGTGGACCGGTGTTGTGCCAAAAATCGATTGGCTGCTGGGGGAACGTGAATGGGAGGACTTTAACAATAATTTAACTAGATTAACAATTTAAAACAATTATGTTTGCTCAAAATTAAATCAAAGTTGTCTCAGTTCAACTTTTCCTTAATAAATGCACTTTGACGGTCAAATCAGCTGCATTTCAAAAGCTGATACGCGGAAGTAGGAGCATGCACGGGAGGACTTGCTGTGCATTTCTTTGAAATTTAACAAGATAACCACCTAAAAACAATTGTTTGCTCGACTTTATGTTAAAGGTGGGTCTCTATTTAACTTTTCTTTAATAAATGCACTTCAATGGTCAAGTTAGCTACATTTTGCTGGGGCGACGCAGCAAAGCTGATTTGACGGTTGCTCCAGGTGAGCTAGACAAAGGTGGCAGGCTATGGCAAGCCGATTGTGTCATTAATAGCCACTTTTATCTACAGTAGGCAGGGTGATCAGTTCTGTTGATGGGGAGGGGCATCCCGCTTGTATAATGTTAGGGGAAACACTGCATACTACTCGAGTGCCGTCTAGCAGCTGAAAATGTTAGTGTTCATTATTTTCAGTCAGAATTAATGATAATGGTCATATCTCAGCCCAAAATTGGTTTATAAAAACAGGGAAAAAATCCATAAATAAGTCGCTTCAGCGTATAAGTTGCAGGGCATGCAAATTATGCAAAAACCTGCGACATATAGGCCGAAAAATACGGTAGTAATAAAAAAGTAACGGGACTTAATTTGTAAATTGATCGATACCGGAACACAAATAGCAGGCAGGGGTCTGGGTGTCCTCCTCCAGAAATTTTTGAATAAAGTAGATGTGATTTCCTGCATTTTAGTGTAGTTAATGGGTTGTTAAACATCTAGGTGCTTGTAAAACAAACAAACAAAAAAATATATGCACTTTTATTTATTGTGTTTATTGTTTTTATGCTATTAGTGCTTAGTGTATTTTAGCTGATGTTTTTCTTAGTTCATAGTCTTAAATCATATCTTGGATCTTATTACTGTTTTTCTTTTATATTTTATTGTTGGATGTTACTGAGACTGTGTGTACATAATTTTGTTTCACCATATGTACCACATGGGGTGCGAATGACAATAAAGAATCACTGAATGTACTGTGTATGTGTATATATATTTATTTTTGTGGACTACCAAGCACCAGCTTGCGGACCCCCAGGGGTCCGGGGACCCCAGTTTGAGAACCACTGCTCTAAGGCACTCTAGCATGGT